AAGCACTCACCTATTCACCCTTGTTTTGACGTTGTGAGTTTAAGCACTCACCTATTCACCCTTGTTTTGACGTTGTGAGTTTAAGCACTCACTTGCTTTAATTTTCCATGATGGTGAACTTGTTTAACTTCGGCATTTTAGATCTTGCTTCACAGATGGGATATCCCCAACGTTAGATATATATATATATATATTTCAGTTAAATCACAAATCTCTATACGTATGGGTAGTAATGTCATTCTTTACTGTGTTCCTTTTCACCACTTTTTTTCCTAACAAACTTTACACTGAATTATCCTGGTTTATTTACTAACAGAGTCGATTTATAACAAGTATGAAGATTATAAGTAAGCAGCGAGTGTGTTCACCGAAATGTTTCGATCCCGTGATTAGCACACTACAAGTCAAATATATATATAGTTTAGTACAAATATTAGTTTTATTGTAGCATAAGTTGATTAATATTCTTTGCCACTTTTATTTGGCAAGTGATAAAAAACAATACACATTTGATTACTTTCAATATCAACATTATATACCTCAGTCTTTAAAACATGCATCAAACATTTTCGTCTAATCGGTATCTAATTAAAAAGTGCTAAACTGAATATTATCATATTACAGTAATTGTCATGTACAAATATATGAAACGAAAGCTTGCAGTAACGGGAGCTTGGCACGCATACAAGTTTTTATCTAAGTTACATGTAACTAATTTATGCTTGCTACTACAGTTATACATGCAAGTAAAATATACACACATTTTTACTCTGAATATACAACACAAGTAAATATGTCAACTAATATCAGAAGCTTCTTAAAATGTAAAGTAAAAATAAAATATTGAATACTAGTAGTATGCGTTTACATACTTAACCTTCCACATCTGAAGTACAAAACCATGAAATCAAACACCAAAAACCATTTCTGGATCCTAAAGCTACCATTTATTCCTCCTCTGTGGATGAAACACTGCAACCATTATTTGACTAACTATATCAAACTGATAATTTCCATCACAGAGTTGAAAACAAATAACACACACAAAAAAAAGACAATGACCCTTATTAAGTTTCTGCTAAAAGTAAACATTATCATACCAATATTTAATGATTCAAAATTATGAACACTAACATTCTAATACTCAAAAATCTGATCTGCGAATATTTTTTTTGTCTCTAATCTTTAAAGCCTGTTGTTGCCGATGTTTTGTTCGCATACACAATAAAGTACAGAAATTGAAGTTTTTAATATTGTTAATTATTTGCAGTATTTCTTCATCATTTACTCTGTGCAAACATAACACATCTTCAGTTAATACAATTTCACACTTTTCTTCATGTATTTAACAAGTTCAGTACAAACAAGCACCAAAAACCAAGGGTGTTATCAATTAATACAATTTCACACTTTTCTTCATGTATTTAACGAGTTCAGTAGAGACAAGCACCAAAAACCAAGGGTGTTATCAATTAATACAATTTCACACTTTTCTTCATGTATTTAACGAGTTCAGTAGAGACAAGCACCAAAAACCAAGGGTGTTATCTCAAACAATCATATCATACTTATGAGAAAAGGTGTGCTTGTCAGTGGTAGGTAAACATGTAGAACAGATAATAGAGACAATCAAAACCATTGGTATGAAGTGAAGTTAAAATCTTGTTCAGATCTTTTGTTTTGATAATCTGTTTCTACCATTTTTACACAATTCTACAGATTTGGATAATGTTTTTTTTTAAAGAATTATTAAAGAAGTCACACAAAGGGGTCAACTTTTTTGGGGCTATTTTGTATGAATAAATGGTGTGCATTTGTTTGTTTTTTAATTTTTTTAATTTTATGTCGTATTTAGTTCACCAGTTTAATCATGACATCAACATCAATATAAAAAAAATAAATCTGATCACAATTTGGCTGAGCAGTTACTTTACACTTTTCTTGGTTGCTATCATTTTCTGTACTTTTCATAAGAAGCAATTTTTAATTTAGGTCACAATAAATAGAATACAAAAATGGATCTTTTGCCATATCAGACATTGTAGTAAAAGTTCCAAGGAGTTTAGAACCTTGTCAGTGACTAACGAGATAGTTAGTTAATGTTAGTCGGGTATCTTATCAATAAGTAAGATGAATAAAATCACTGTTGGCTACCGATGAGGTCCCACAGATGATTGGTGATAAAGAACTGGGAGTTCTGGTTAAGATTCAGAGAGAACGGCTTCACTTCAATATTTGACTTAATTACTGTAGTTTTTATTAAGGAAACTGAGTAAATCACAGAACTGGCAACAAAATGTAAGTCTAATAATTATAGTTTTCATTATCACCATTACAATTATTGTAAATATGTGCCATAATGTAGGTAATTTGACAGTGATGAAATCAGGGTATAAGAAAAATTATTTAGTTACTATAAACAAACACGGGTCCTCGTATAGACAAAGAACCATGTAAGCTAAAGTAAAGAATGAATAAAATGGCTTGTTTAATATGAGTACAAACCTAAATACACTAGTCATCAAATATACTCTATTTAAAATCTAAATCATCAAATCTTTGAAGGATATCACAAGTCCAACTATAATTCAAGAGAGAACTGGAAGTCATAATGAACAATACAAACTGTAACAACAAAAATTAGAGGGAAAATCATGAAAAACGACAACAAACTGGAATATATGCCAGAGATAAATAAACGGAAAGTTATTATAAAAATATACACATATAGAAAAAGAGTGTAGTGAGAAAACTACAGATAAATTTAAAAAAAAAGACCGTTAAACAGCTGGAGTAAATGATAGTACAAGTTGTCGTGAGAAAAATGGATATGTACAAAACGTTGATTTTAACAACACAACCTTCAAACTTAAAGTTACAGTGAACAAAATGTAGGATACATGATAACAGGACAACTTACGGGGTATCACTCGTCGTAAGCCACAAAAACCAAAACTAAAACCCTTAAAAACAAGAAAAGTCTACTTAATTGTAAACTTAATAATGACATATTTCTTGGTGTATACATTCTGATAAAACACTCATTAATTTGATGACTGTACGTTATATCATTCACGATAATCTTACTCTGTTACAGTTTATAAGTCAAGTCCTCTCTGGTATTACTACATTAAACACACAAGTGGTAAATAAGAGAAGGGGGGAACTCCTGAAGAGCAAATTTCACAATACTTATACGAGGGAAGAATGAAGATTTGTTAAATATTTCCTTACAAAAGTAAGAACTTAAAACTTAAATAATATTAAAGTTTGATTTATTAACTATGTTTTAATGCCAAGTTTATTCGCATACAATGATAACAAAACAGTTTAATTAAATTTGTAAGGTAACTCTGTAAAAAGTTGTGATATGTGCATATTGACCTACCCATAGTGAGAGGGTTAGTTACTCTGATTAACCAAAAATAATTTTTACCTAGAAAGGATAATTTCTTCCTTTTATATTCACTAAATGGTTGATGGTGTAAAATATGACTGCGGAATACGATGGCAGTGAGATGAACTGACCACTTTCACTTTGATTGCATAGAAATAATTAAGAAACATTTTTTTTCACAATTAACAAAGTAGAAAAAATAATTCAGTTCAACTGTTTGTGGCACTGATTTAATCCATCATTTGAGTTAAAGTAACTTACTCTTTAAAAAGTTTCAAGACTTGATATTTATTGCCTGTTTGATTTGTGCTTATTACTCTTATTTGCCTACAAAGTACATTTTGATTTAGTGCCTGTTCTAATGAAAAATTCTTACAAAAATCCATTGCTTGCCCTACTAATGCTAAATTGGGTTTTGGAGTTTGAGACTTTCACTAATATTATTGTGGTCTGAATGTGGAAGCAAAAGAATTTGGTGTTCACTTTGAAAAAAATCTCAGTAGAGAAAATAGCTCAAACAACACATTCCCCCAGATACTACATGTAGTAAGATATATTTTGAACCTACAATTTAAAGCATTTTTTTTCTTATGGAAGAAGAGGATTCCATTGTTCTAAAGTTATATATCTAAAATGCTTGTTAAAGCTGCAGCTTGAAGAGTAAATGTTTCATACCAGTAATTAAAAAAAAGGCACAGAACCTATTGAGTAACTGCAGGAACTCAAGAAAGTAAAAGGATTTCCATCTGTGTGGATCACGAGTGGAAACAATCTGTAAAAGTCTAATCATTGCCAACCGATACTTTAAACCAGAGTAAAAAAGTCCTATACTTTTCTACAACCATGAAGAGATAACTACATGCAGTTTTGGAATAAAAAAGCGGATGAAATTCAGCACATAGAACAAATAAAATCAAGAAATATATATTATGCCTTTGAAGAAAGTTTAATTACCACGAGTGCTAATTTTTGTTCATATACAAAATAACCATGTAGTCAATTACCTCTCATAGAAAGATAGCACAGGACAACAGACCTTTAGGTAAACATTGTGATTTCATGTTTTAAAGCAATAGTATTTCAGTAAAGGATACAACCTTTAATTTCATCTTCTGAGCTGTCGTAGTCCCATCTCAAGCCAGTTATTTTCGTATACAGCATCAATTCTTTTCTGTAAGGTAAAAAAACAACAGTATACAAGTTGCTAAAGGTCATGATATAACATGATTTCTCTTACTTCTTAGTATAACGTGTTTTTCTACAGTTACCTGTGTAATTCAGTAATTATTTGGGACTTATTACAATTAATCGAGAACAACTGTAAGAATTTAAGCAGAATCAATGCTCAAACATTTTACCTAAAATCGTATTTCATAAAATAAGATGAACATGAGCGTGCTATTTGTCTTCATAAAAACATCAATGAAAAAAAAAAAATTCAAATTCTGATACCTTAAAGCAGGTATAGTCTCCAATTTTTTCTCTCTCACTTCTTGTAATCTTTTATCAAGTTGCTTTTTCTCCTCTTCTTTCTGTTTTATTGCCTCTTTCAACTCTGAACACTCAACTTTAATCTTATCTAACTGTTCCTTTTTGGAGTTGAGTTCTGACTGAAGTTTCTCAATTTTTTTATTATATATTTCTTGGACTGAAATATCTTTCAGTTTATTCTGTTCTTCTCGACAACGTGCCTGTAGAGCTTTATGATAAATCAGAGAATTCAATCATTTATTATCATAAAATATAAGTTTTTGGAAAACATAGATATTATTTTGTAAGAAGTAAATCATAATGTGAACTGTTTTAATACAAATGACAGACTGATAAAGACTTGTCCTTATGTATTCTGAGAATTGGGCTTAATAAAAAAAATCTTCCACCTGTTAATAACAATAACATCAATAATAAATAACACACTATTAAAGTAGTGTAATATTATTTCAATTATAATAAACAATTCTTTAGTATTGTGTAACAGTTTATATTTATTCGTAGAGATAAGTAGAATACACAGTATAATTCTTAGCTCAAGCATGAAAGTTCTATAAGGTCAAAACCTAAATAAAGATAATCAAGGTGAACATATTTTGATGAAACAACCACCTTTAGGTTAAGATTAAAATGTTGCTTTTGGCATTTCCCAAATCAACATAAAATACAACTAAGACTTATTTTTTCTTCATTTTATTTTCATATATTTTCTGAATTGAACTTTTTGAGGCAGGTAAACAGTTGCTAAAGATGGCTCACAACAGTTGCCTCATTACTACAAGATATGTGTATGACAGTAAAGGTATAGCCTCATCTTCATAAACCCTTCAATCCATATTCTAGGACGTAGAAACAACCAATTTTATCAAATAGATCAGTGCCAAAAATCAAACCTCACAAGCTTAAGTTTTACCAGGAATTCTTAGACTTACTAAATTCAGTATTTTACTTGTCAACTTTGATTTGTCCTATTGAGTTTTGAATAGCAAGGTTTCATAATAAACTGAAATATTTTGAGCCGCCACTAAAAAGGAGAATGGAGAAACCAAAGTTTTTTTCCTTAAACTTTTAAAGTTGTTTTATTAAAACTTGAAAAAACAAACAACCATCACCTTTTGATCCTATTTCTTTTCTCTTCCTTTTTATAAAACTACAGACTGACTTTCAAACTACTGTGGTTATTACTTTAGTTATAAATATTTAATTGATTTTGTTAATAAACATAAAAAAAACACCAATGTTAAAGAAAAATTTGAAATTATTTTACAAGAATTTCTCACCAGACCACCATTATAAAAGCACAGGAATAGAAATAAAAATCACAGGATGAAAAAACTAAATACTTCTAACTGGAAACAACATGACATCCAGAGAACTGGTCAATTAGATATAATAAAACAAAGAATTCAAAAATTAGCTTTGGGGTATCTAAATTAAGACAGAACTGAAATAAGTGGTTACAAAAGTTTTCTGTACATTTCAAATGTAAATATTTTTAAAACTATCTTGAAAATGACTACGATATATCAAAGATTAATGTCACGCAACTTGGAATTTTCTCTCCAAGATCTGATGTATTTCAACATTACCATTACTATATTTTACCACAAGTCAATACAGGTAAGAAGTGAGCCCGACTGATCCAATATTCTAAAATATTATTGTTCTGGTTACAGTATATGAACACAGTTGATTTTGCTAATTTTCTATTATTATCTTAAAAGATAATTACCTTTCAAGCTTTCATTGTATTTATTTTGTTGAACATCCTTGAATTCTTTAATTTGTTTTATACCATCAAAAAGTGGATTTTCTTCTTCAAAACAATACTCCAGACCAGTTCTTAGAAGCTCAAGAGATTTCACAAGATTTTCTGGCAATTCCAGCATATTTATTGTAAGGGTAACTTTCAAGGAGAAACCTGAAGTTTTATGTTTCTTTCCTGTAATTTGATGCAAAATAAAGTAAGAATGAGTGATGCTTACAATTTCTCCTGTATGTTTCCACAATAATATTTTGTCACAGACTTTACCATTTAAACATACAAATAAAAAAAATTAATATCAAATAACTTGGAGTGAAATAAAACCACATGTGTAAAAACATGCTTTCTGTACCTAACATTATAAAATACACACTGTTTACAATTTCTCCTGTATGTTTCCACAATAATATTTTATGTCACAGACTTTACCATTTAAACATACAAATAAAAAAATTAATATCAAATAACTTTGAGTGAAATAAAACCACATGTGTAAAAACATGCTTTCTGTACCTAACATTATAAAATACACACTGTTTACAATTTCTCCTGTATGTTTCCACAATAATATTTTATGTCACAGACTTTACCATTTAAACATACAAATAAAAAAATTAATATCAAATAACTTTGAGTGAAATAAAACCACATGTGTAAAAAAATTTTTTGGTATTAGGATAAAAAAACAACAACTGTGGTTACTATAAAAAATTAACTCTATAACCTAAAATACAACAAATCGTAACTTGCAGGTAGATAAATGATATCTACATAAAAATAACAGACTAACCTTTGCCTATCATGCTAAATCCTTAATAAGTAGATGGTAGGTGCCACATTCTACATATAATTTGTAAATATATTACATACACATATTATGAAGCCTTTCCAGAATTGAATCATGTAGTTATCAATACTTCTTAAACTGTTTTTAATTTCCAAAAGTTATATCCCAAGTGGCAACTTCAAATTCCATAAGTTCATTTCTAGCCCCCTTCTCCAAAAAATGTTGAAAATCAATTCCCGTTCAAAGTTACTTAACATGAAAGAAAGATTAAGGAAAATCCTGGCAGAAAGTTACAGGTAAAATTTTTTATCAGTAACAACTGGTAAATTCCCTAAACTTCTGTGCATTTAAAAACACTGGCACATAAAAAACTTTCATGTGATTTGAAATTCATCTTATGAAACACATACACACTGACTTGAGCATGTCCCATATAATTTGTTAACATTTTTATTCACTAAATAATAAACTCAGTTGGTAGCTGTACAACAAATTAGAAATCCAGATAATTATCAATACTTCTAAACTTAAGCACTTATTTATATATTGGTTCAGTTTTTATAGTACAGAATAAAATGTACAAAAAATTTATCCCTCAGACTGTTTTCATAAGCTCACTAAATATCTTAACAATGTTACTCCATCATATAAAAAACAAAAGACACCACAATGCCAAAATATTATCTTTCAGCATTATCACAGTGAAACAACTAACATAATAATAATAATAATAAGGAAACATCACAGACAGTCTTCAAATGGTGAATTCCCTTAAACATATTTCATAATTACTGTAAATTAAAAAAATAAAAAATCAGTTGCCCAAGGACAATCTATAAACTAGATTCAGATAAATGTTTACATTGTCTTTTGGTACTGCAACTAAGCAGTCACCCCCTAACTGATCATCACAGCTTGTATTGCCTTTAACATTGGTAACTTCTTTTGCATCTCAGACACTGGAAGACTCCAAATTCGATGACGAGGAACCCACTTTGAGACTAATAATGGCTGGAGACGGCTTGAATGGGCAAAGGTCTTAAAACTGAACCCTGAGGTACCCTACTAGTGACATTAATCCAGTTTGACTGAACTCTTATTTATAACAACCCTCTGCTTTCTTCCATCCAGCCACTCTTCTATCCAATTAGCTAACTTATCCTCCACACTTTTTTTTTCCAAGCCTTTTTATGTGGCACCTTGTCAAAGGCTTTCTGAAAATCCAGATACACCAAATCTACAGCCTTACCCTCATCTACCTAAGCAGTAAGCTTTTCAAAGAATGTCAAAATATTTGTAAACAATATTGACTATCCAATAAAATTCTAAACTTTATTAAATGACTTTACAAAACATCTTTTACCAGACTTTACAAATATATATATATATATTTTTTCCCCCACAACTGATGTACGATGAATAGGCCTATAATTACTGGGACAATTTTTATTACCTCCCTTGAAAAAGAGGAGTGACATTAGCTAACTTCCAATTCTTTGGCACTTGCCCACTATTATCAAATCTTGTTTCCATCTACTTGCACAAGTTTTGGAAAAAAATAAAGTATTTTTACAAAAGCATCATTTAAGTGTTGCAACATGGAATCAAATGAGCCATTATTTTAAAACTTAAGTTAAAGTTAAAATGTTTTTGTGGAGTGCTCAACTGATGAAACAATACAAAGTAACAAATTACAATGCATTATTGTCATTACAAAAACATACAAACAATATCATTGAATATATCAAAGTAACTACATTTATTAATGAATTGATCTATATAGGTAGCTTGCTTTGGTCAGAAGTTAATATTATTGAGTAAGAGTGAGAATTAAATTCGTGAGAACCTATGTTATAGGTCCGAGTTAGGACTAACGCCGTTAGTAACGACTACTGGTACTAGTATTAACTATTCACTGATAAAGTCGAAAAACAAAAACGACTGAAATTAAAATAGCTCACGCTAGGCAGACTTCCTGATAGGCAGAAATATATCTTTTCTAATTTCTCCTAGTTAATTTGTAAAATGAATATTAATTCACTTATTTTGTCCAACTTAACAGTTTATCCATATAAACAATATCGTACACTAATTTCTGATTCAAATATAGAGCGCTATGACTGCTGCTGCCCTCTAATAATACGATGGATTTTTATTTGGTAAAAAATAAATGAAACAAGTATTTGTATTTGATATTTCAGCTAATATATTCACTGTAATTAAATATGTGGAAGTAATAATTTCAAGCAATTTATATATATAATTGTTCTAAGGCAGTTTTTATTTTTTGAATTTAAACTTGCAAATTAAAAATAGTATAAGCCTGCAAAGAAAAGTTAAGGAGTAAATAAACTAAACTATTATAGTAAGTGGAGTGGAATTTATGTTATTCTCACCAGATAATTTAACATAGCCTGCTAACTGGAGTTTGGTTTGAATTTCGCACAAAGCTACAAGAGAGCTATCTACGCTAGCCGTCTCTAATTTAGCAGTGAAGGCAGCTAGTCATCACCACCCGCTGCCAACTCTTTTATCATCATCACATTATAACGCCCCACCATTGAAAGGACGAACATGTTTGGTGGGATGGAGATTCGAATTCGTGACCCTCAGATTGCGAGTCAAGCGCCCTAACCACCTGACCATACTGGACTACTAACTGAAGAACAACGTTATAATGTGTATATGAACAGATTATTATTATTTAGTGAGTAGATGAAATTTGAATATCGTTTTAAATAAGCTGTACCATCATCACGTAAAATAGTCATTATTTATTATTTTATAAGTTTGATTTTTGTATTACTTTTTACCACTTCTAACCCTGAAAATATGATCTTAGTAGCAGATAAAGTACATTTTGGTAACTCACTTTTAGAAGGTTCCATGCACGAAATTGTAAAAATTTAACGACATAGGGCCATCAAACACTCAAACCAGGAAAATTCTCAGTTGAGGTAAATACATGCTCAAGTTACACTTCAGAATATTTTTTATTATCCCTGTGCACGTTTCTGGTGTTCTGATTTCCTTTTCCCAAGGGCATACGTCTTATAACCAAGAAAAGAGTTTATCAAGGAAAACTGGATTTGGGAGTCTGTGTTAAAAGTGTAATAATTACAACTTGGTTTCAGGAAAAAAAATAGATACATTTAATCACGAAGGAAGATAATAAAAGGAAATATATAAAAATATTCACATTAGTCTTAGTAGTTTGTAAGGAAAATGGATGTTAAAGACAAACTGGAAAGAATCAGGAATAGTAAATTTATAATATAGGTACCACTCACTACCAATGAATTCACTACTCCAGATTCTTTCCAGTTTGCACTTGAGTTAAGCCAACTAGCCCCTTCATAAACCACTTTATGGCCAGCTTTGATATTACCTCCCTCCTTACAAACAAAGGCCCGGCATGGCCAGGTGGTTAGGGCGCTCGGCTCGCAATCTGCGGGTCGCGGGTTCGAATCCCCGTCACACCAAACATGCTCGCCCTTTCAGCCGTGGGGGCGTTATTATGTGACGGTCAATCCCACTATTCGTTGATAAAAGAGTAGCCCAAGAGTTGGCGGTGGGTGATGATGACTAGCTGCCTTCCCTCTAGTCTTACACTGCTAAATTAGGGACGGCTAGCGCAGATAGCCCTCGTGTAGCTTTGCGCGAAATTCAAAAACAAACCTACAATGTCAAAACCCAACACCATATACTAGTTAGAACCAATGAACAGATGGGAATTTCCATGAAAACACAAAAAGATGAGTAACCCCTATGTTTTCTCTATATAGCAACGTAGTGAAGAAACATGACACGAGCTTAACCTATCAAATTTTTGCGAAGCCAACACTGACCCGGAATTATTGATTAAAGAAACCCCTCAACATCAAACAACTTCCACTAACACTGAAAAACATACAGATTCGTTTAAATTGTACATTTTTAATAGGGACAGTGTTTTGTTTGTTACTCATTTAATTTATATGTTGGAGTTTTGATTAAATTACTGTTATTATAGCTATGTATTTCAGTTACTTTTCTTTTACTTTAGATACTGAAGATGGGATCTGTTGAATTCCGAAAAGTTTATTGTTTGGAATTAAGCATAAAGCTACACAATGGGCTATCTGTGCTCTGCCCACCACGGGTATCGAAACCCGATTTCTAGCGTTGTAAGTCCGCAGACATATCGCTGTGCCACTGGGGTGGGGGGGGGCGGGGGCGAAAAGTTTATTTGTGTCCCCTTGTGTTATAAATAAACCATGTTTTTTATCTTAAGTATCGTTATCCTTTTTATTGTGAGAGACAATTTAGTATTAAATTATGTTTCCCCTACATATTTTTGACACAATGATTCGCAGATTTCTGAACAATAAATTTAAATCTAAATCCAAGTATCGCTCGGTTCAAAAATGTAAGTTTTATCTCATCATTTCTTATCTTAGTAGAAAAAGCTTCACACTGTAAGGACAAATAAACAGGTTTTTTTTCCCCAAACATTTTACCCTCAGTTCCATATGAGAGTTATTTTCAAACAAGGGCAGATTGGCCCATCGGGACAAAGGGCAATTGCCTGATGGGCCGGTTCATTTGACGCATTCTTAGAAACAGATTTTAAAGTTTACTTATTTAACAAGTATGCAGCATGTGATATTTCCCGGGCTGGTCCTTTATTGCCAATCCGCCTCTGTTTTCCAAACATCTTTCCGTCTAACGCATTTATTCCAACAGAAAGACAATCTTCCGACACCAATGCGTTCTTGGGTTTAAAATACATAACTATGAGTTGGTGATTGTAAGGCCATTTACATCAGCAAAACTATTCGCCATCTTGCCATACGTATCCATGGATACATAAGATTATCCTTGAAAACTGATACAACACTTTCAAATCCTTGTTACTCTGCCATCTCAAATCACAAATTGGATAGTAATCATAATACCAATTTTAAATCTTAACCACTGGTAAGTCAGTCCTCGGTCTTCCTACCAAAGAAAGTATCTTAACAGCTGTATTTTGTGAACTTTTTAGTGTGTTTGTAGAAAATTTGTTGTATTTATATGAATTTATCTTTATACTATACCCATTTTTTATTATGCAGAACAAGCTGAATACGGATCAAGCACAATCCACACATTAATTTAAATAAATGTTATTGGATCAATCGTCTTTGTTTTCAGTTTAGAGTTGAAAGTGCTGTCATCTATCGGTAAAAATGTACTTACTAAAAATATGGAGTGTTGCTGATTTCTTTTTTCTTTCTGAAAAATTAATTTTATGTTTCTTGTAAGGAGACATTGTAAGAATAGAAACACTATTAAAGAGTAATGGGGAAATTACACACTTATCAATATAATTCAATAAAAGCTAATTACGTTTACTATAATTTTGTATTTTGAGAATTTTATTCACATATGGAATTGCTCTAATGTTTTTTCAGTTAACTTTCTGTTTGATAAGTTGTAATTTTAATCGACATATAATACAATACTTTTATGTGATCATCCCTTTACTATTAACCCCGTAGTTCACCTGGTGGCTAAGCGATAAATTAATTAATTATTTATTTTTTCGATTTTTCTTGCACAAGTACTCAACGGCTCGTTCCTTACCTAATTTTGAAATGAAAAGACAGATATTAAAGAGCAGAACCATCAATTCGTGCTTGACCGAATACTTCAATATAATATACAATAAAATACTTCGTTTGCTTTCTTTTTACCAAAATTTTAGAATTTTTTTTTCACGTATATACGTTCAGCGCTGTATTGTATTCGACTAGCCGTAAAATCAACTATGTCAGTGACTTGAAATTACCACTGGAGGAATGTAATTGATGTCAGAAATTTGGTGTATTGATAAGTGGGGTAGTTGCCCCAGTGCCCAGGCTGACCAGAGGCCCCAAAAGGACCCTTCAAAATTGGTATGTGAAATTTTGAATATTGGAATTGAAGGATGTTTATTCTGAAACACTGAAAAAACTTTAACCCTGGTTTAGTCTTCTATAAAAAAATTTCCATAGTCACTCTTCCGGGGTCCAAGCGGACCCCATTATAAAAATTAATTTAAAAATATTTAAATAATAATAAATTATTATAAACTGTTATTTTGGAAACAAAAAATACTAACATTCAAAATATTCTCTTTTATTAATTAAAAAATGAACATTGAATATTACAACTTGTTTCTTTTTTACCACCTAAACTAAGTGTAACAATTTAACACAAACTAGCCAAATACTGAAGCTACTGAGAACAACAAACATGTACGTGCTGCCATCTATCGGCGCCGATGTTTACAAAATATGCGTAAAAACCCTGGAACACTAACGCAGGGTTAATGGAGTGAAGCAAATTAAAACTTTGAAACCTAGTTACTGCACTGTGTAATTATCACACGACATTATAGAAGTGTGACTGGTGCCAATAATATATAGCACTGCAAGAGGAGTGTGGTTGGTACCAGGAAGAAAGAGCACTACAGAAAATAATTAGTACCAGGAGGACAGAACACTATGGGAATTTGATTTATGGCAGGAGGATACGAAACTACAGGAGTGTGATTGGTACAGGAGGACGGAGCACTACAGGAATACGTTAGAAACAGGGTTTCGATACCCGTAGTGGAAGCAGCACAGATAGTCCGTTGTGTAATTCTAGCGTTTCTCCATTTTCCTCACAACTCTTTATAGTTGCAAGTATATTCAAACTGGCCAACCAACAAATACCATACAGAGTATTATTATACATTCAGAACTTCTTAGATATTGTAAGATTTGTAGTAATTCACAGTTCTTAATATCTGATATTAATATATTAGTAAATAAACTGACTTTTAATGACTTCGATGAGAAAGCTTTGATTAAACATTTTAAATTATTTTATAATTGATATAAAAAGTATTTATATAAATATGAAAATATGAAAAACAAAATTATAATACAAAAAAAAGAATTTCTAAAATTTATTGTAGGGGAATAACTGGAATTACTCATTTGAACATTTCATGTCTTATATAGGTGGATTAATGTAGTGGTAGTTATATCATCTTCCCTATATAACACCTGCTACTGTGTGGATCTCTTTAGGTAGATTATTGTAGTGGTAGTTATATCGTCGTCCCTATATAAGACCTGCTACTGTGTTGATCTCTTTAGGTAGATTAATGTAGTGTTAATCTACCTAAAGAGATCCACACAGTAACAGGTTTTATATAGGGACGACGATATAACTACCACTACAATAATCTACCTAAAGAGATCCACACAGTAGCAGGTCTTATATAGGGAAGATGATATAACTACCACCACATTAATCTACCTAAAGAGATCCACACAGTAACAGGTCTTATATAGGGACGACGATATAACTAATGTAGTGGTAGTTATATCATCTTCCCTATATAACACCTGCTACTGTGTGGATCTCTTTAGGTAGATTATTGTAGTGGTAGTTATATCATCTTCCCTATATAAGACCTGCTACTGTGTGGATCTCTTTAGGTAGATTAATGTAGTGGTAGTTATATCGTCGTCCCTATATAAGACCTGCTAATGTGTTGATCTGTTTAGGTAGATTAATGTAGTGGTAGTTATATCATCTTCCCTATATAAGACCTGTTACTGTGTGGACCTCTTTAGGTAGATTATTGTAGTGGTAGTTATATCGTCGTCCCTATATAAGACCTGCTACTGTGTTGATCTCTTTAGGTAGATTAATGTAGTGGTAGTTATATCATCTTCCCTATATAAGATCTGCTACTGTGTGGATCTCTTTAGGTAGATTAATGTAGTGTTAGTTATATCGTCGTCCCTATATAAGACCTGTTACTGTGTGGATCTCTTTAGGTAGATTAATGTAGTGGTGGTTATATCATCTTCCCTATATAAGACCTGTTACTGTGTGGATCTCTTTAGGTAGATTAATGTGGTGGTAGTTATATCATCTTCCCTATATAAGACCTGTTACTGTGTGGATCTCTTTAGGTAGATTAATGTAGTGGTGGTTATATCATCTTCCCTATATAAGACCTGCTACTGTGTGGATCTCTTTCGGTAGATTAATGTAGTGGTAGTTATATCATCTTCCCTATATAAGACCTGCTACTCTGTGGATTTCTTTAGAACCATTGAAGATCTAAGTAGTAGCATGGAAGGGTGGAGGATGGGAGCTATACCAATAAGTTACGTTAGGCTTAGTATAGTAATACCTTAACATCTTGGTATTTATGTCCAAACATCATACTGGTGGCTGGAATGCTAACTCCAAGGATAGTTTTGCTGTCTCCCCCATTAATGTCTTGTATTATAATTATTTCTTCTTATTGTTTTTATTTTATTTATTTATTTTTGGTGAGCAATCACCTTCCCACATCTGGCTGCAGACAGCGAAAGGTAGTAAAGATGTGGGATGTTGTGGGCTACAGCACCCACATCTGCTCACCTCCCCCCTCTTCTGTTAAAGGCATGTGAGGCCGGTTAGTTGAGAGTATACTGGGTAGAAGGTATATCCCTAACGCAATTTGGGTCTTAATTCCACCAGTACCTCAAAAACCAGGGCACGTTACATAATGACTCACATTATGATTTGTATCCCGGTGTTGTTGGATGTTTGTTTTGTGATTGCGTTTTTTTTTTCTCTCTCTATAAAATTACATTTAATTATATTTCATCTAAGGTTTAGATATGCTGTGTAAAATTCACGCTGTCCTTCTTATTGGTATAACCTGTTTCGTAGCTTTCTTATATATAACAAACATTACAAATTAAACAGTTATTTTCCATTATCTGTTCAAGTCGTCAACATTTAGTCATAACAGATAATGTCTGTGGTCAAAGCACCCAAATGCGTTGGGGATATTTCATCTCTCAAACAAAATCCAGACGCTGGTGTTAAACTAGCCAGTAGTTATTGAAAATCAGTTTATCTATAGTAATTCTTTTATGGATAATGTTAAATTAATCATAAATACAGTGAAAGTTAATGGTTATAAGAAGTGACGTATAAAAATTTGTGTACACTTTCTATAATAAATATGTAATTATTTTAAGAAGTGGAGAAGTTAGAAGTCGTTAATTACTCAAGGTTATCTTTGGTTTAGAATTAACTAACTTTAAAGATATATTTTGTTACATTTGTTCGGTATACTACCG